AGAGCTAAATGTACAGCATGGAAGCTACTGTTTGTTTTGTACAAGTGATCTCTGGGACATTGTATTGGGGGATAGGGGGGCGCATTGAGGAACCCGGCCTTGGGGCAGCAGAGAGAGTAAATCCGGCCCTGGACGTCGCTCAATCTTGCTGGAAGTGTCAAAGGCCGGCACTGTGATATTTCTTTTTTTTTTCTTCAGCAACATCTTTATTGTTAAATCACCTTTGCAGGCCGTTGACTTTGGGAGGGTGAAAAATACAGTAAACCCTTGCGTGTCACTAATCTACTAACTGACATATCCGTCTGGATGTCGCAACACTTCTTAAAACTCAACGTTTCAAAAACTGAGCTCATGATATTTCCTCCCCCCCATGCACCTTCCCCCAACTTTTCCCTCGAGATTGTTAACACAACTATCCATCCCTCCTCCCATGCCAGGGTACTAGGTGTCATCCTTGACTGGGACCTCACCTTTCTTCCCCACATCCAATCACTATCCAAATCCTGCCGCCTTCACCTTCATAACATCTCGAAAATACGCCCCTTCCTCACCAATGAAACCACAAAATGACTCATCCACTCCCTTGTTATATCTCGTTTTGACTATTGCAACTCCCTCCTCATTGGCCTTCCACTACACAGGCTCCTCCCCCCTTCAGTCTATCATGAATGCAGCTGCCAGACTCATTCACCTTACCAACCGTTCAGCATCTGCACCCCCCTCTGTCAATCCCTGCACTAGCTTCCACTCGCCCAAAGGATAAAATTCAAAATATTAACAATCACTTACAAAGCCATCCACAACTCCGCCCCCGGATATATCTCAAACCTTGTCTTAAAGTATTACCCTAACCGTCCCCTCCACTTTTCCCAAGACCAGCTCCCTTGTCAACTCCTCCCATGCTCGCCTACAGGACTTCACTAGAGTCTCTCCCATTCTCTGGAACTCTTTACCCCAACCTGTCCGTCTATCTCCCACCTTGACTGCCTTTAGGCATACCCTGAAAACTCACCTCTTCAGGGAAGCCGATCCCACCTCAACCTAACCGCTCAACCATCACGTTCTCAAAAAGTCCATCCCCACAAAGCTACCTCCTCATGTATCACTTGCTCCTCCCTTTTAGATTGTAAGCCCTCAGGGGCAGGGACCTCCTTACCATCTTGTCTTGAATTGTATTGTGATTCTAATGTCTTCCTTATATTGTAAAGCGCTGCGCAAACTGTTGGCGCTATATAAATCCTGTATAATAATAATAATAATAATAAACCCAAACCGTTTACAAAACATATTTGCACACGAAAAATATAGTTAGCAAACACTTTAATAAATTGACAATTTCTGTAACAAAACAGATAGTTTCCCCCCCTTCCACTTCCCCAATGTCAATACATTTCTATTGAGATATTTTCAAAAGTTAAAACGACATTCTACATTGATTAGTTTGAACAAGCTTATTTTTTTTGTCGTTTTTTTTTGTTACAATTTATAAAAAGAAAATCTTGACTTCACATTAAAAAGCAACCGATGCCAATTCGCAATACAGTAAGCATGAAGACCACCTATTATTTTTAAAAATAATCGAGCATCTGTGGGCCTACACGTCTTCAGGAAATCAAAGTCAAAGTTGTTTAATCTTCAACAATGGAAAATGCTACAAAATATATCTAGATAAAGCCACTTGAAAAGAAACGATAGAAAATAGGAATGGGATAGGTAACACTGTTAGATTGATTTACAGTCATACATTTTTTTATACATACATTAAAATACACTATACATTTTATTGAACTGTTCCTTCTATTACAAAGAGAAAAAATAAAATACACATGACTGTACACCACAGCTTTATTTGACATTAGAACATGCTACACACCTCGAGAAGTTAATTTGGCATTAACCACTGTACAACACATAGCAACAGACAAAATACATTGTTTTTTTTTTAAAGCTGTAGCTTCTCTTTACAGACATTGGAATGTCATTGGATCAATGACACAAGTTAAGACTGTTTCTTTTTTTTTTTTTTGACATCACAGTAAACACATAAAGAAAACCCATGGTCTATTACTGCAATAAGGCACTCCAAATGTTTGAGTTGCCGTGACACGTGAATGAGCAGACAGATTGAAAAAACAAAAAACTCATTTAGGAACACTTACCGTGCTAACAGTCGCTTGAATATGTAATATGAGATTAATAATAGTATAGCAAACCTCAACACAGCCCCTCTACACCCCCAAATGTATCCATTTTCAAAATGACACTAAACTCTGGAGATAAATCTTAAAAATACATTCAAGTGAATTGGTGCTGACACTGTCCTTCCTTCTGGAGGGGGGCTACGTCTGTTCCCCATGGTCCCCGTGTGTGTTGTAAAGTAGTCACCGCTCCAAGCTCACTCCCGGGAAGGACTACAATCTCATGTTTAGTTTACTCATTTGTATTGAGATTGTAGTCCATCCCGGGAGTGAGCTTGGAGCGGTGACTACTTTACAACACACACAGGGACCATGGGGAACAGACGTAGCCCCCCTCCAGAAGGAAGGACAGTGTCAGTACCAATTCAGAGATGATTGGAGGATCTACAGCCGAGTGATACACAAATAAGATACATTGTTGTTACTAGTTAAGGTTCTTGAATGTATTTTTAATATTTAAAAGAAAACTATGGGGTAACCTTTTTATCCCATAGTTCTCTTAGGCTGGGTTCACACTTAGGCGTATCGAATATGCGCGTTTTTACCGCAATTCGCGGTTTCCGAGGGCTACTTGGCTGTATCCCAATGGAAACACGCAACAAAAACGCCCCAAAGAAGCTCCTGTACTTCTTTGGGGCGTAGAACGTTTTGGTGCGCGTAATACGCCTGTAATACGCCCAGGTGTAAACCATACCCATGGGAAATAATGGGATTTCGGTGTTTGAGCGTTTTGCAGAGCGTTCGAACGCGCTACAAAGCGCCCAGGTGTGAACCGGGCCTTAAGGGTGACGGGAGGACATATACTAGCATCCTCCCATGATCCAAAGCTCAGTATATAGCGGGCTATTGCTCACTATATACCGAGATCGCCGCAGCCGGGACGGATCCCGATAATGCTGTGGAGATCCACACAGCTGTGTGAGTGACAGCTGGCTTTACCTATCTAGAGGCAGAGCCAGCTGTGCCCGCCCCCTCTGCCGTCCATTTCTCCACGGTATGTGTTCGCTCACCTCCCGATCTATAGAGCCGACGTGCAACAGTCTCATTGTCACAGGTCGGCTAGAACTATGAGGCTGAGTGATAGCCTCATAGTTCTCCTTTAGGGTACTTGAATGGATTTTTAAGATTTAATTCCGGAGTTTATTGTAATTTGAATACCGATGTTTTACTTTTAACATTTAGCTACTAAAATAAATGATGGAAATAATACTTAATAAAACATTCAATGTAAGTAGTTACATGTCCAAGATCATCTCTATCTACTAAGACAAAATATAGAATATAAAACATCTATTACCCAAATATTTTTTAACATTCTAGATGTTAGATGATATGTTGAGGTGCTGTGAAAAGCAACTATAAATCCTTAAAATGTAACACTGAAATGACGGACATTGTAGCGTATGATTTGTGACTTCAGCACTCAGACTTACTATATAACACATATTTTTAAAAATGACGCTTTTTTTAAAAAATAATGATATTGTTTATACACATTCTGCATTGTTTATACACATTCTGCATTAAATAGACACATTCTGCATTTTAATAGGCCTTACCTTTTGTTCTTCCTTTCCAAAAAATACTTTTTATTTTTTTTACTTTAAATCTAGCATATAGTTATATTCTGTTAAAACAAAGGCATGGCCTTCAGTGCACCAGATAAAGGTTTATGGTTTTGTATTATACGCCTATGTATGCTTATCATTAAAATATATTTAAAAATATCTGTAAATGTAGTATAATTATCCAGTTTTTTCACATATTCTTTTTTGCTTAATAATTATTCTCAAAAAAAAACCTATCAGTCTTGGTATATTTATTTGTATTTTAATTGACATCTTAGTGCGAGTTAAGAAAATACGTTAGAAGTTGTCGCAGTTGGCACAAGGCAATTTTGTTTTTGTTTTTTTTCTTTCGACTGTCACAAAATATTTAAAAGCTATATTTTTTTTTTATACCTTTTTTAAACTCATTAAAAATAAAAGCTGATAAGGTGAGTTTTCTATGACACATTGAGGTCTCTGCAGATATCACCCTATTCCTTGTTACAGCTTACAACATTATCAAAATATTAGTATACATGTATCTATATTTTGCGTAGAATCTGATTTTTTTTTTGTTTTGTTTTTCCTCACCTGGCGGTTATCACCAAAACACAGCGCAATCTATATACATACTTCATTTAGGTAATTTCACATTTTTTTTGATTTACAAGCACAGAAAAAAAA